CTGCCATTTGAAGAACCAGGGAAATGTCAACTCATGCTGATTGAGTTGTTGGAATCATCTGACAAAGACTTGAAAGCAGCTGTTATAAAATACTCCAGCCCACAACCACAAACACTCTCGAAACAAAGTGAAAAACATAAAATTGCTGGAAATAAGCAAGACATAAAGTAAAAGCAAAAGGACGATTTTAGAACTCTAAAACACAATAACTGAAATTTAAAAAAAAAGAACTTCACTGGACAAGATCAAAAGAAGACTGAAGATGACAGAGGAAAGAATAAGTAAGTTTGAAAATAAAGCAATAGACATTATCCAATCTGGATGACAAAATGAAAAAAGATTGATGAAAATGAACAGAGTTTCAAGAGCCTGTGAGACAATAACAAAAGGTTGAATGTTAATATCATCAGAGTCCCAGAAGCAAAGGACAAATGTTTAAAAAAGAAAATTGAAGAAATATAGTTGAAACTGTCCTAAGTGTGTCAAAAGACAAAAAACTACAGATTCAAGAACTCAGAGACCCCTAAATAGTACAAACTCAAAGATTCTCACATGCAAACATAATCTAACTGCTCAAAACTAAGACAGACAATAACAATAATCTTCAAAGCAGTAACTGACAAATGATGCATTACCTATGGGGAAACTATTTGAATGACTGCAGATTTCTCATCAGAAGCTACAGAGATCAAAAGGAAGTAGCACATATTTTCAAAGTGATGAAAGAAAAGAACTGTCAACCCCAAATTCTATGTGCAGTAAAAGTTCATTCAGGAACGAAGGTGAAATAAAGACATTTTCAGATGAAGGAAAACTAAGAGAATTTGTTACCAGCAGACCTGCTTTAAGAGACTTTTTAAAGGAAGTTCTTCAGACAGAAGGGAAATGATTCTAGAAGGAGACTTGGCATATTAAGAATGAAGGAAAAGCAACAGAAATGGGAAAAAATAAGAGACTATTCTCCCTTGGAATTCTTTAAAATGTATATGACAAATTAAAGCAAAAATTATAACATTGTCTTGTGGGGTTTTCTAATGTATATAGGGTGTAATACATAAGACAACTATAACATAAAGAGATCAATTGAGTGATAAAGTTTCTACATTGCACTTGAAATGGTACAATATTGATTCTAAGCCAACTGTGAAAAGACTGATGTGTGACTTCAGGTATTGTCAGTCTTATCCATCTGTTATAAAGCTCATCATCAAACTCTCACCTAATGGTTTCACCAGCCACTGAGGATCACTACTTATACCTATGTCTTCACTGTTTCTGTTGCTGTTAGGTGCCATTGCTCAGTTCTCACTCATGTGACCCCAAGCACAACAGATCAAAACACTGCTCAGTCGTGCAACACCCTCACATCCATTGCTATGTTTGAGCCCACTGCTGCAGCCAACGTGTCAATGAATTTTGTTAAGGGGCTTTCTGTTTCCATTGATCCTCTACTTTACCACGCATGATGTCATTCTCCAGGGACTACTCCCTTCTGATAAAATGTCCAGAGTATGTGAGATGAATTCTTGCCATCCTTGCTGCTAAGAGCATCCTGGCTGCACTTCCTTCAAGACAGATTTGTTCTTCTGTGAGTCCATACTCTTTGCCAACACAATAACTCAAAGGCATCAATTCTTCTTCAGTCTTCCTTATTCACTGTCTAGCTTTCACATGCATACAAGGCAACTGAAAATACCATGACTTGGGTCAGGTGCATCTTATTCCTCAAAGTGACATCTTTGATTTTAAACACATTAAAGAGGTCTTTTGCAGCAGATTTGCTCAATGCAATATGCTATTTTATTTCTTGACTGCTGCTTCCATGGATGCTGATTGTGGGTTGAGTAATATGAAATCCTTGACAACTTCAATCTTTTCTCCACTTATCATGATGCTGTTTATGCTTATTGGTCCAGTTGTGAGGATTTCTATTTACTTTATGTTGAAGTATATGCCATCCTGAAGGCTTACACTTTGATCTTCATCAGTAACTGCTTCATGAAGGGGCTCCAAAACTGTGATATTCTATCATTCTTCCAATAGATGGTATTCTTCTATAAAAAAGAACTTTTCCATGTCAAATATTTGATTACTCTGAAGTATAATTCTACAGAAAAAGGAGGATAAATGCTTGATTCTTTTATCTGACAGCTTTCAGAAGAATGAGTTAAAACCACGAGTTTCAAATGGTACATATGATGGAGGCTATGCTGGCTTAATGCCCACTGAAGTAAACTTGGAGTGTATATAATTCACTAATTGTAGACAATTAAAGGCAAATATCCAAACATTTAAATCATATGGGGTCTTTAGTTATGACAAGGAATACCTAGGATGACACAATCATTTAGAATGTATGTACTATAATACATCACACTTGCCTTTTATTGCCATTGGATTATTCTTTTATATGTGTGGGTGAACATATATGAATATATATATTCCCCACTTAGATTATAAGATCCTCATTGACAGTATAAGGCTGAGATCAAGTTGATACACACTTGTTAAAGGACTAAACAAAATATAAAAGAAGTATGTCCAAGGGGACATGTAACACCAAAGGAGAAATCCTAGTAAACATGGTCTTCCTCTTACTCAGTCACAGTTTTGTGTTAAGCTACTTTTTTTTTTTTAAATCACTTACCCTGTGCCAGCCACTATTCTAAGCATTTTACAGATAGTATCTCATCTAATCCTCACAACAACAGTGGGAAGCAGGTCATCAGCATCCCCCTTCAGAGACAAGGAAGCTACCTCCAAGGAGATGATGCAGCATGGCCAATTCATGCTTCATTAGCACAGAGCACAAATCTGAGTCCCAACTCTCTGACTTCAGAGTCATTTCTCTCAGCTACCCCCCTGCACTGTTAGAGAACTGCATCCATCTTCCCTGCTAAGGTGGGTTTCAGCTGGTCTACTAACCATACAACAGTGTGGCAACTATGCCATATTTCTGCCATCTGAGACCCACAATATGAAATAAAGCCACAGGAGAAGGGGCATGGGAGAGTTATAAACTCCCTGTGTCCCTACTGGGAGGGTACAGCAATCCCTGCTCCCTGGAAAGGCATAAATACACACAGACAGTGGCCCTCCTACTCAGGGACTCAAAATAGAACCAATGGGGCAAAGGAAGTCCATCCACCCAGTCACAGAAGGCATTAAAACTTACATTTGGGGGAAAATATTAGTAATGTGGGACAATGGTCACAATTAAGGGGATATCTCAGTTAGACACATTACAGAAGGTATACATATAGCAAAAGACTAGCATGAAATAGCTTGAATTTTTAACTGTGTTTATTCCAGCTTGTGGGATTATCAGCAGCAGTTTTGCTTTCTTCTTTACACTTTTCTGTATTTTATAAGGTCTTTACAAAATTAAGAGAAAAAATGTTATTAAAATACATAAGCACATTTGAGTAAGAACTGATAGATTAAATTACAGAAGTATTGTTCTTTCTTGTTAGGTGTGCTAATGATATACCTGTCATCGTTGACTCAATTCTGACTCATAGTAACCCTAGGAGACAGAGTAGAACTGCCCCATAGGGTTTCCAAGGCTATCATCTTTACAGAAGCAGACTGCTTCATCTTTCTCCCTCAGAGCGTTCAAAGTGCTGACTTTTCAGTTAGCAGCCAAGCACTTTAACCACTGTGTCACTGGAATAATGATATGTTGTTGTTGTTGTTAGGTGCTGTCGAGTCATAGTACTTGTGAAAATAAAAGTCCTTTTCAATTAGAACTGCACACTGAAGCATTTATGAATGAAATGAAATGAGGTCTGAAAAAGCTTTACAATACTCTACAAACTGAAGCAAAGAAAAAGAGGGAAAGATAAAACAAGACTGGCAACATATTGAACAGTGGTTGAAACCTGATACTGGGTACATGGAGTTCATTACACTATTCTACTTTTGTATATGTTCGAAAACATACATACATATGTAAGCACAGAAAATAAATGTGTCCATGTGTTCAGAGCTGACTACAGTCACATAGATTCAAGTATTTAGGGGGAAAGGAAAGAAGAAATAGTGACGAGAGTGACAATCACATAGCAACATGCTAGGAGAGCGGGACACTGTTAAAGGTGAGGAAGGGACACTGGAAGGTCCCTGAGGCTGCTGTGTGTGAGATCATTTGGACTCAGGACGCTAGAAAGGAAGGGACTGCAAGTGTCCAGACAAAGAGCAGTTATCCCCACACTAAGCATGCTGAGAGGCAGGATGAGGCTGAACGCATGTCAGTGGAGGTCTATGTGTGTGTGTCCACATCACGCACTGCTGTAAAACCAGTTACAGGTGAGTCGACTCTGTCAGGACCACATGTGTGTCAGAGAAGAACTGTGATCCACAGGGTTCTCAAGGACTTGGAAGCAGACCACAGGGCTTTCTTCTAAGGTACCTCTAGGTAGACTCAAACCTCCAACTCTCAGCAGTCAAGTGTGTTAATTAACTGTTTGCACCATTCCATGGAATATTATACAGCAGGTCACATGGATGGATGTAGTCCCAGTCAAGGAGGACTTTAGCTTTATAGTCTTACAGTATATGCACATTTCATATACAAACTTTTTTTTTTTTTTTAAAGAATCCAAAATAAGAAGGAAAAAGCAAACAAGTCTATAGGGCTTTGGGGTCAGATGAAGGTTTCAATGAACCTAGAATTGGCTCTCCTACTCACCTGCTGTGCAACCTGGGTGAGTTAGGTAAGTTACCTCTCTGCACTTGAGTTTCCTTACCTATTAACTGGGGATAAGAACAGCTGCATTTGATTTGCATGGCTATTATGAGGACTGAAAATAAGCCCTGGGCCCAGTAACTTCCCACTAAATCGTAGGTGAGCATTTACACATTTATACAAAGAAAGGAGTGACAGAGAAGCTTGATAAGAAAGAGAGGATGCCTGAGCCTATGGGTGTGAGAAACACTGGGATGAGAGCAGCCAACATGGCAAGAACAAGGACCCCAGGGTCTGAGCCTTCAGCACTTACTGCAGTTCTCTTCATCGCTGCCATCAGGACAGTCCTCAAACCCATTACACCGGAAACGGCCAATGATGCAGTGGATGCCACTGGCACAGGGGAAGAATGTTGGGCCGCATTTTGATTTTGCCTTGGCTGCAGGAGGAAAAACAAGACAAACAGCAAAGCCATCAGGAGACGAGGCTGTCAGCCCGGCGCATCCCCACCTCACTAACCGGAGGGTCCCAATGAGTCCTTCTTAAAATACTTTGAAATCCCACAAGGTTTCTTACCACACTCCCACCCCAAACACCCAGCCAGACTGGAAGCTGAAAGGCACCAATCCTCTAGGGAGTAGCTAATCCTCCTGCTTCCAAAATACCAAAGAGGTGAAACACAGCCTCTGAGCCACAGGGGGCACAATATGCTCCACAAAGGAGTGAGCACGTGAGTGCATGCATACGACGGATGCAGCTTGCTTCTTACGGTGCCAAGGAACCAAACAAAAGTCAGGCTCTGTCAAAGTAACTGTGGTGCTGTTGCTGTTAGCTGCTATCAAGTCAGCCCCTGACAATGAAACAGAGTGTGCCTGGTCCTCTGCCACCCCCACGATCAGTTGTGGATCAAACCAGAAGTCACACTGATTTCTGGAAGCAGATCACCAGGCCTTCCTTTCTAGTCCATTTCAGTCTGGAAGCTCTGCTGGCACCCGTTCAGCATCATAACAACACACAAGCCCCCACTGACGGACCCATGGTGGCTACACATGAATGGTACTGGTTGGGAACTGAACCTGGTTCTTCCAAATTGAAGGCAACAATTCTACCACTTAACCACCATTGCCCCCCAAATAACTATAGCCTACATTATCAACTGCTTACTTACTAGGCAGTGTGTCGAGTGCTTGGCATGGATCATCTAATTTATTCGTCAGAATACTCATGCTATTCATCATCACCACCACCACCACCACTACCAATAGTTTATACAGTATTTCAATTGATCCTTGCAGCCCCAGGTGGTGGTACTGATGATAAATAGCATAAGTATTTTCACTAATAAATTAGATGATCCATGCCAAGCATTCGACACACTGCCTAGTAAGTAAGCAGTTGACCACTAGCCACTCCTTGGAAGGTAGACCGGGCAATCTACTTCTGTAGAGATACTGCCTTGGAAACCGAAGGAGGGGTTGCTATGAGTCGAGACCAACTCGATGGCAGTGAGTTGAATTTTTTAGTCAGGGGTTGCAAAAATTTTTTTCTGATTACCAAAGTTTAAAATGGTCATTATGGAAGATATCCATAAATCGATAGGATGTGATTTCCAGGACACACTGTTAAGTGAGAAAAGGTAGAAAAGACAGGCCTAAGAAAATATACATATTGACCTTGTAGATGGAGGTAGATGCCACCTAGTTGACTCTAATTTATGACAACCCACGTGTATCAGAGCACAACTGTGCTCCGTAGGGTTTTCCATGGCTAATTTTTTTGGAAATGGATCACGAGGCCTTTCTTCTGAGACACCTCTGGGTGGAATGGGCACATTCTTACCCCCAGTTTAAAGATGTGCTTTGAGAGGTCAAGTGACTTGCCCAAGGTCCTAGTGCTGGAAAATGTTGCTCAGGAGTGTCATCATCCCGAACCCTCAGACTCCAGGCGCTGTGCTTTCAACCAACTCAGCTGCACTGCCTCCCTGTGAAAGGCGGCCACTTCTTGCAACAGAAGCCAGACTTCTGCTTCAAAGACATTCTTCTTCTGCTCTGGCTGTTCAGTTTTAACAGAAACTGCTGTACCTCTGGCTTAATTTAGTGGCCTGCTAACCAAACAGCCCTATGGGGCAATGTACTTTCCTGTTAACAGTGCTGGCTGCTCTCGCTGGCGATCATGAGGGATAAGATCACGTCCACTGCAGCATCCCAGGCAGCAGGCCCCACCTAGCATCCCTCTTGTCTCTTGTCTTAGAGGCAGGACCCACGGCCCTCCAAGAAGGAAGGTCCATTACTAAGGAACAAGCAGGCAGTAAATTACCTTCACGTCCCTGACATCTGAAATATGTGAACTTTGGCAGCACAATCAACAGGGTTTTAAAGCCTGAGACGTGTCCAGGTTTAAAACACTCAGATGGCTTTGTTTCAAAGTGGAACTTCTGTCATAGTGCTGATACTCTTCACAAAGCAAAACTCAGGAGAGAGAGTCCTAGGTTCAAAGCCAGGCTCTACCTTTATGACCTTGGACACAATCCTAAACACAGTTGAATCTCAGTTTCCTCATGGGTAAATTAGAGGGGACATCTACCTCACAGGGTTCCAGTGAGGATTCAGAGAGTTAATCTACATAAAAGTGTTCGTAGAAAGCATGCCATGCAGCAGATGTTCAATTAATGGTTAATACTTATGCAATTAATCATATTATACTACCACTAGGGTTTACAGAGTTTTTAGAGTTTTTGTTCCTTGACTGCAATTTCTTTTTTTCGTTGTTGTTAAAACCAAACAAAATCAAACCCACTGCCATCGAAACAATTCCAACTCATAGTGACCCGGCAGGATAGAGAAGAACTGCTACATAGGGTTCCAAGGCTGTAAATCTTTATGGAAGCAGACTACCTTATCTTTCTCCCGCTAAGAGGCTAGTGGGTTCAAACCACTGACCTTTTGGTTAGCAGCCAAATGCTTTAACCACTGCACTACCAGAGCTCCTTGTTATATTTGTTAGGTGTTCTCAAGCCCATTTTAAGCCACAGTAACCCCATGTACAACAGAACAAAACACTGCCCAGCCTTGTACCTTCCTAATAGTTCTTGCTCTGTTTGAGTGCAAAGTGCTGCAGCCACTACGTCAGTCCAACTCGTGGAGGGTTTTCTTCTTTTCCACCAACCCTCTATCAGGCACGATGTCCTTCTCGAGGAACTGGTCCCTCCTGATAACACGTCCAAAGTACATGACCCAGTCTTCCCATCCTCACTTATATGCAGCATTCTGGTTATACATCTTCCAAGACCGATTTCTTTGTTCTTCTGGTGGTCTATGATATATGTAATATTCTTTGCCAACATCATACTTCAAAGGCATTAATTCTTTTCTGGTCTTCTTATTCACTGTCCAGCTTTTGCATGCATATGAGGTGAATGAAAATACCATGGCTTGAGTCAGGTGCACATTAGTCCTCAAAGTGACATCTTAGCTTTTGAACACGTTTTTTTAAAAGCTCTTGAGCAGCAGATATGCCCAATGCAGTACTTCATTTGACTTTTAACTGTTGCTTCCATGAGCGTAGATTGCGGATTCAGGTAAAATTAAATCCTGGGCCACTTCGATCTTTCCTCCATTTATCATGATGTTGCCTATCAGTCCAGTCGTGAGGATTTTTGTTTTCTTTATGCTGAGGTGTACACCACACTGAAGGCTGTAGTCTTTGATCTTCATCAGTAAGTGCTTCAAGTGCTCTTCACTTTCTGCAAGAAAGGTTGTGTCATCTATACACTGCAGGTTGTTAAGGAGTCCTTCTCCAATTCTGATACCACATTCTTCTTCATATACTCCAGCTTCTCAAGATTATTTGCTTAGCATACAGATTCAGTAAGTATAGTGAAAGGATACAGCCCTGATGCATACTTTTCCTAATCTTAAACCACACAGTATCCCCCTGTTCTGTCTGAAAGACTGTCTCTTGTTCAATGTACAGGTTTCACGATAAGGACAATTAAGTGTTCTGGAATTCCCCTTCTTTGCAATGTCATCCACAAATTGTTATGATCCACAGAGTCAAATGCTTTTACATAATCAATGAAACATAGGTAAACAATTTCCTGGTATTCTCTGTTTTCAGCCAAGATCCATCCAACATCAGCAATGATATCCCTTGCTCTATGTCCCCTTCTGAATCCAGTTTGAATTTCAGGCAGTTCTCTGATGAAGATCAGAGACTGCAGCCTTCATTATGGATTATACTTCAATAATATGAAAACAAAAGTCTTGAAAACTGGACCAATAAGCAACATCATGATTAGTGCAGAAAAGATTAAAACTGTCAAAGATTATATTTTACTTGAATCTACAATCAACACCCATGGAAGCAGCAGTCAAGAAATCAGATGACATACTGCATTGGGCAAATCTGCTGCAAAGAATGCCTTTAAAGTGCTAAAAGCAAAGATGTCACTTTGAGGCCTATGATAATCCTGACTATAAAGCTATAGTATTTTCAATTGTTTCATATGCATGCAAAAGCTGGGCAATGAATAAGGGAGACCAAAGAAGAATTGATGCCTTTGAACTATAATGCTGGCAAAGAATACTGAACATACCATGGACTGCCAAAAGAATGAACAAATCTGTGTTGGAAGATGTACAGCCAGAATGCTCCTGAGAAACAAGGAGGAGAGACTTTGTCTCACATGCTTTGGACATGTTATCAGGAGGGACGAGTCCCTGGAGAAGAACATCATGCTTAGTTGAGTAGAGGGTCAGTGAAAAAGAGGAAGCTCCTCGACAAGATGGACTGGCACAGCAGCTGCAACAACAGGCTCAAACACAGCAATGCTTGTGAGGATGATGCAGGACCAGGCAGTGTTGTGTTCTGTTGTACAGAGTTACTGTGAGTCAGAACCAACCTGACTTGACAGCACATTAGAACAACAATTCATATTGTTCTGTGACATTGGCTACCTTTTTCATAATGTGCCAGTATTCCCATTACTTCCATTCTGGTTATTCTGTTTCCATTCATCTAGCTTCCCTAACCACCTCCCCCCCTTACCTTTTCATCTTTGCTGAGGGTAAATGCTGACCATTTGGTCTTAAAGTACTCATGAGTAATATTGTTTATTTCATGAGCCAATCTGTTATTTGGGTGAAAGGTGACCTCCAGGTGTGGCTTCAGTTCTAAATTTATAGAGTATCTCAGAGCAATTGTCTCAGGGGTTCCTCTAGTCTCCAACAGTCTGAATTGATCTTTTTATATAGCTCTGGCTCCTAGAACCATGATAATATTTCACATATTCTCAAAATAAACAATGTGGGAGAAGGACTCAAAATACAATATAAACAGTAACAAATGAATCTAAGCATATTACAAATGTATGACAACACTACATTGAAGGAGGTGGGGAAGAAAAGAACTATAGTGATGCTGGAAAACACAGTTTGGACT